CTTCCTTTCCTGTCATCCAGTTTCCATCGAGATGTTTTACACACAAGACAAGCTTCAAGTAGTTCATTCTCCTTCCAATACAAGACACAATCATATTGGCATGCATGGATAGGAACATATCCTAAACCCAAGCTACGCAACATACTTTTTGCCTCATAATAGGAGTTAGGAACTAAGTTGTCTTCTGGTAGAACATCTTTTAAGAACTTCAACAGCATGTCGAAGGACTTATTGCTCCATTTGTTGTACACTTTTAAGTGAAGTAGTTTCACTATGAATGAGAATTTTGAGTACTTTGTACAACTAGGATATAACTCCTGCTCCGTTGTATCTAGCATTTTTATAAATTCTTCATAGCCGTTATTTGACAGGTCACCTCCATTGACAGCTTCATGATGAATAAAATTTTCATGTTCATCCAATAAGTCAAAAAGTTGATCATCTAAATCTTCATCATTATCCATTGAATAATCGATGGCATCATTCATGTGGGAATCAGACAACTCACCATGGTATACCCAAGTTGTATACCCAATGTCTATCCCATGAATCATTAGATGGGCAAAAACTCCTTCAAGAGGTTCCTTATAGATGTTCAGGCAACGTTTGCACGGACAATGGATATCATTGTCATGGTCAAAATGTTCCTCAGCGAAAGTAATAAAAGATCTTACCCACTCAATGTAAGCTACGCTAAACCTCAGTTTTCTCATCCAAGATTTATCCATCCTATCGATCCTATAAGAATCGTGTTAAACTTTGATGTTCTAATATAATAAGTTTAACAATGAGTGTAGGTATAAAGAAAAGGGTATAGGGAAAAACCTTTACTTAGGAGCTTTTGAATGTCTTCCAGAGTATTCCTGTTGTCCCTTTTGCTCCACTTGATCGGTACAAATAGGTATCTAGCAAATTCAACCTACAACCAAATTGGAACATGTATTCTGTAGGTTTAATCTCATTTAGTAAAAACAACTACTTTAGTTTAAATGAACCACCACTAAAGAAAACAATTAGATAGAGATAAAGGACCTAATTCATTAAGAGGTGGGATTCTTGGAGACGCTCTGTTGATTAATGATAAAAAAAAATTAAGCTGAAGGTAAATTTTTTTTTATTGTTCTTCACTTTTTTGTTTCTGTATATCAATTTATCCTAATTGTTACATGCTATTTAAAATATTTAAATTTGAAACTCATAAGGGAAGAAATGCACATATTCCCAAAGCCTAAGCATGCCCATTAGAAGCGTGACTCATGTGGTCTCCTACAATTTCATTACCCAAAAAACAACCCTTCACTTAAATTTGCTACTGACTCGTCCCCATATAATCACATCTTGCCTCACCAATTGCTCACAAACTTTGGCATTTTCCTCAAACATAATTGCCAAAACAGGTACTAACAACCACCACAACATGCTAATTAGTTTATGTTTATTTATAAGGTCGAGTTCTATTTTATCATTAATAATAAAAAATGAAAGTTGCAAAAAAAAAGGGCGACAGCAAAACTAAACTATGGGGAATCAAAAGAAAAAACAAGTACAAATTCATTCAAGCTTCCCAAAAACAAAACTAAAGAAAATGGCTGGTTTGTCCTTTCAACAGTAGGTTTTAACATTCAGAGGTAATTTCTTTCTTCTCTTCTTCCATTGACCCGTAGGTGGCAGCCACCAACTGCTCTCCATCCGCTGCACTTCAAATGTGCAAGCAATCTACCATGAGAAGTCGCTCTTTCTTTCCCATCAATGAACACAGAGCATCCAGACAAGGCTACTCCCAGTTAGCAACTATATAAGGTAGCTTGGATAGTTTTGTACAATTGAAGAACTCACAGGAGGTGTGTCAACATAATTAGAAGCTGAAAACTACTGGAAAGTTGAAAAAGGGGGAGGCAGTTGATCTTGCCAACCTGTAGTGTTACTGTTTTTGTGCCTTTGGAACTGAATTTGCAGCTTAATTGTTTATTGTACTCTTACTTTTCCCTCAATAAATTGATGTCATCTCTATAAAAAAAGAACTTAAAGGGAATGTACTTTTTAAACAGATAAAGAGTAGGGTATATTTTAGAACACACAACACACAAGGAAGTTGCAATTCATGGCAGCAGTTGTAGCCTAGTTTCCTATTCAAATACCTTCATCAGCTACTATCGATTCAATACCATAAGTTCCATTCCCTAGAAAGTTACAGATCATTGATTGAACTTTTAATCATGACAAGAATTCACAACCATGACAGCCAACGGTTACCAACAACAGCCCACCATCTTATTTCCAATTCAGCAAAGTATTCTTTTTATCCAACTCATATTGTCCAGCCGAATAGTGAAAAAGAAATTAAAAAATAGCCGTATAGGTCATAACCTTTGCATAATCTATATATAACCAATTAATATGTATGTACTTAATCCATTGATAAAGCTGTAACTAAGAAAAAGAAGTGAGAAAGAAGCATTCTCGCCATTCTTTAGTTTTACTGTTATTACCGATAATCTATATATAACCAATTAACAGCTATGTACTAAATCAATTGACAGAGCTGTACCCAATACGAAGATACAACCCCTGATAAAAGGTGAGAAAGACAGTAAAAGACCATCCAAACTAGAGATGAACATTCAAATTCATAAGAAAGCATCACATGAACAGCATAACAAAAGAAAAAAATGACAACTCAAAGCTCGAACTCATGGTACAACACCACTTGAGACATTACATAAAAATTAACCAAGTACTATATACCTTACATGACTTGGGAGGACATAATAACAAATTATATTGTTTAAGGACAGGGACAGGGGAACAAACATGCAGTCCCCCCTGGATTAATTAAATCCCAAACAAGGTTACTTTGTTGTTTTATGGAGGTAATGATAAGTTTCTAGTAGCTCCTCTACCTAAACTGTCCAAGACAATGTTAATCATTGGTTTCTCTATATGCTACTCCAAGCCACCACAGGACTCCAACGAGTTCTTCTCTACTATCCACCTTACTTTTAGCCAAAGCACATAACAGAGGTATCCAATTAGCTCCTACGAATTGAAGGCTTACCTACAATATCATGCCCTAATATCCATTCTTGAAGGGGGAGGGGGTTCACGCACGGTGAAGTTTATGATCAAAGAAGGTCTATCCTTCGAAAGTCGACTGCAACAATCGATCTTGAAGAGGGGAGATTCAAACGCCGGCTGCAAGGGTCAATCTCGGAGATGGTAAAATCTATCTTCAAGCACTGGCTACGACAACCGATCTCATCCTTCAAGCACCGACTACGACAGCTTCGAGCTTTGAGGATGGTAGAGACGGCAAAGAGCGGCGAGATTTGGGATAAGGCATGTCTCTGTGCTAGGGTTTTTCCTTCGATGGTTTGATTTAGGTGAAAGCTCACTGAAGAGTGAAGACTTGGAAGTTTTGAAGTGGCCGAGTGTCCCAAAAAAAATCCCAAACGACACCGTTTGGAGCAGGCTTTGACCCAAAAAAAATTGTTTCAAACTCAGGCCCGAACTGTACATATAAATAGACAGACGTCGTCGTTTAGATACATCTTGAGTCTGCGACAAAGTTAAGTCGTCGCGAAATCTTTCACACTTTCTGCGACAAAAGACTCGTCGCTAAATCTTAAATTCCGTCGCCAAATCCATCAAATGGCCTATGTAATTAAATAAAGACAATCAGCGACGAAAATTAATATTTCGTCGCGGAAACCACACTTTTAGCGACGAAAATCTTTCCGTCGCTCAAATTTTCGTCGCTATAACCCAGTTTTTTTTGTAGAACCTTGACCTAACTAAGGAGCTAGGGGGACTCAAGCCCGAGTGACTCTCCCCTTGCTAAAGAACTTTGAACCATTTCCTGCTTTCTTACTGCTTTTAGTTAAAATCACAATCACTCGACTTAGTTTGCTAGATAATAGATAATCACGGAGTAGGCAGTAGATCTAGATCCCGGGTTGATAAATAGAACTTGCCACTATTCTGCATTTCTGGACTGCGATTACACTGGGTCGCAGTTTGGTGTTGTATTTTAGCGTGTCAGTAGTCTTGGGTGAAGGAGGATCTAGGGATTAGGTGGGTCAGGAAGGGAGAGCTTGATGGGGTGAGTGAGTCCCGTGTTGAGGGTGGGTGTCTTTGTTTTTTTCATTGATGGGAGTTCTGGGAATGAGGATTTGTTGTATGATTGAGGCTCGGCTGCTGATGGGAGAGTGGGAAGAGAACAGAGAGTCTGGTATTAGGGTTAGGGAGTGGGCTGGGGTGAGATGGGTTGGAATGGGATAGGATGGCTGGGATGGGATGTAATAATGTTAGCGGGCTAGGATGGGTGGGCTGGAATTTTTCTTGTCAGCGGGCTAGGATGGGCTTTGTTGGGTTATCTAGTTTTCCGGCTTAACCGAATTGGACCAGGCCAATTTTTTGTGTGAACACAACAATTGTAAATTGGATTGGGTTAACTGAAATCCAGTTTTCGATTAAAATCAGAACGTTTTAAACTGGTCGGTTTCCAGTTTGACCGAGAAACTGGGACCGGATTTCTAACCCCATATCTCTATAAATTTTCGATTTATTACCCGTCTTGAGTTCTTAATGTATGTAGGCTAACTATCTTACACTATCGTAGGGTCTTGTGGAAGCTCTTGCAAGGATTATGTTAAATGCACGCCACAGGAAGTGTGTGAGACATGTTTTCGCAAATTGGAAGCTAAGACACAAGCCACAAACCTTTCGGAATCTATATTGGTCTGTTGTGTATGCAACCAATGGGGCAGCGTTTCAAGCAGTGACAAGTAGGATGGAAGAAATACAAAACAGTGGTGACGACCCCGCCCTGTTGAGGGACTTAATGGACTAGCAGCCCGAGAAGTTCCGTAGGGCATTCATGTCTCATAAACTATAAGTATGATGTTGTTGAAAGTAACATATGAGAGACATTCAATTCATATATTGTAGAGGAGCGACAACTTAGAATAATTGATAATGCTAGAGGGAGGGGATTCACAAAAATGTTGGCTAGGGTTGTGGACAAGAACAAACAGTTGGGAAAGTTTAAAGATACCGTCTGCTCTAGGATTAGAAAGAAGGTTGAGAAGGGTAAGGAGTTAGCTAAGATGTGGATGACAAGACCCTCACTTCAAGACAGGTTTGAAGTATCTCATGCGGACGAGGGTTATGTTGTGTCTTTGAAAGAATTTTCTTGCACTTGTGGGTATTGGGGCTTGATTGGGGTCCCATGTGAGCATGTTGTCTCGGCTTTGGCTTGGAAGAGGCTAGACCCCAACCTATTTGTGCATAAGTTCTACATTGTTTCTGAGTACAAGAAAACATATAGAAGGGGGCTGCCTACCTTGGATGGTCGACAGACATGGCCCATGGTGGAGGGGTATCCAATGTATCCTCCAAAGGTTCGGATTATGCCGGGGTGTCCGAAGAAGAATCGCTGGAAGGAGGCGGGCAAGCTTGAGACTCGGCCCCATGAAGGAGGATAAACACCTGTTCGTAGGAAGAATATTATAATGCATTGTGGAAACTCATGGAGAAGGACACAACAAAAGAGGATACCCTAACCCAACTGCACCTCAGGTAACATTTATGCACTTCTTAGTAAAGAGGTTGTCCTTCTTACACTATCGAATTGCAACAACCACAAGAGCGTCGGGGACGTGGCATACCAAGGAAGAATCCAGTTGTGAGTGATGATGAAGTAAATGCAATGGTAACGTTGTTTAGCAATTTTGAAAACTATAAATGGAATGGACACACTATTGACTATTGCTTGTTATTAGATGCAATGCAGTCAAAATCGGGATTTTGATCATATAATCGTAGGATTTTACTTAGGGATTCCGATCCTGATTTTACTATAAAATCGGTGGACCTTAAAATCGTTCAAAATCAGGATTAAAATCGTAAAATCGTAAAATTGTACCAAAATCGGGATTTTGATCCTATGTGAACAAATAGGGAATTTGAGCCAATTCAAAAGAAGCAGAACTGTTTCGGTAGATAGGGAAATGACGGTGATCTTCTCATATGTTTTTCCTATTAAAAGAGCATTTGAAAAGAAGAAAAAAAACCAATTAGGGTTCGGTCAACCCCTTTCCCTTCTTCTTGTTTAACTCATCGGTAAACCAATTGTCAGAATATTGTAAGAGCGTAAGAATTAACATCAATATTAACAAATTATTTGATTAATGAATATATTTGTACCAAACCAATGACATTAATTATTTTATTGGATTTCAGTTATTCTTAGTTTTAAATAATGCTTAGTAGACGATGTCGGAATACTACTTTTAGTTAAACTACCAGACACCACATGAAAAACAAGAGCCAAACCCCATGAGCTCTATCCCTTCCTCATAAATTACTTTTAGTTACGCATAAAATAACAATTATTATGATGATTTTGGTACATTAATCTTGAAAATTATCAATTTAAATGTTATAAGTCTTTGTGTTATTAATTATTTACCTTACTATATTTTAATTTCTATATGGTACTTAAAATCCTACGATTCTACGATTCCGATTTTACCCCAGTTTTCGATTTTAGGTAAAATCCTGATTTTAACTGCTTTGATTAGATGCATGCAACAAGTAAAGATGCAGGAGGCCTTCTTGCAGGTGGGCGAAGATCTACAAGAGGTGGTAGAGGCAGACTCGCAAGAGGTGTACAATGGAGGGGAGATGCTGTGATTGACCAAGAAGGTGGTTCCCAGCCACCAGCAACCCAAGATTGATGCTGCCTTGTTGTGATTTCCATTAGTAGAGGTCATTATGTATGTTGCCTAGTTAGCAATTTGTTTTGTTAGAAGAGGAAATAGTTGACTCTACTAATGCTTTTGTAAGGGCACTACATATGTTGCCTTGGTTGGAGTAGACTCTTCCAGCTTTGAATAGCAAACTTCATGAACTCCTTCTGTGTTTTTGCTAGGTTACTGAGGCTATGTTAGATTGGAGTGTTACATTAAATATATGCAAAGTATATATGCAATGTGTTTTCTGGTTTAAGTTCTATATTGCGCAAATATCATGCTAAACAACAAGAATAACATAAACTTCATTCAATCCTTCAATCAACATCAACTACATCATAACCTCAAAGATTGGCAACAAACAACATTAACTTCCTCCAATGTGAACAAAACAACAACAACAACAACCAACAGTCATCAGTAATGCTGCTAAAACATATACAAGTGTAGTTAGCCTAGCATTTTAATCCCTAGTCTTGACCAACTCAGAATATAGCACTTGTTTTCCCTTCCTCCTTCGTTCTGCCTTAGATTCTACAACCTTCTTTCTAGGAGTGGGTATTGGTGCAGTTCTAACCGTACCGCACCGCATTGATGTAAACCGCAACGAACCGCATGTCAAATGGACCGCACCGCATGTTGGATTGCAATATTACTGGCGCGGTCAAACCAAACTGCATAGATTAGCGGTTTGGTGCGATTTAGACCGCATCACATATATGACCGCAATTCATTATAGGTGATACATGATTAAATAATACTAAAATCTAAATTAACCTACACTATAATGTCCACGGTAAGAAAATAAATTTTCCAAATAAAAATTTAACTAATTATTTACCTCAATTTTCCCCATCATGCATGCAATAGTCTTCTGGACTTTATTGTTGTCCCACTCACTAATGATGGCCTCATCTCCACTTCCGGCCGTCACTCCTTCCATTCCCCCTCCGCCGCTCATCAGCGCCACCACCTCCTCCGATTTGGACCCTCCCCTTCCCAACACATCATCGTCCTCTCCGATCGTCACCAAGTAGTTATTCACGTTCACCTCGGCGGGGCTAGCAGCTTACCTTGCGGTGGCGGTACTGTGTTCTGATCCTCCTCTGGTGGCCGCTGCTGAGCCGACAAGGACGAGAGCGTTAAAATCTCAGCTCAACAAGGAGGACTGGCTATCGGTTTCGCAGCGATAACTTGGACATTCTTACGATGAATTGGTTGCGGTTTTGAACCGCAATCGCGCGATTTTGAACAGCAACCGCGCGATTTTGGTTTGAATAGACCACAAACCGCGAACCGCATAAAATGTAGACCGCATCCTAGACCGCAAGTTTTACGGTGTGATTTGGTTTGACCACATATGCGATTTGGTGTGGTCCAACCACACCAATGCCCACCCTTACATCAATCTCTCTTCCAACATTTGAGCTTTGAACTCCATAGCCACGAGCTTCATCTTCGAATCGTCGTCCTCCGACGATAGTCGATCAACCCATAGGAAAAACCTACCATTCTTTTCAGTGTTCTTCCAATATGGGCAACTGTAAAACTCCCTCCCTGGATTATCTTTTGTCCCAGACAGATTCACAATAGCCGCTACATTGTGTGTGCACTTCACTTCATATTAGTTGGAGGAACTTGATTATGCTTTGCTATGGTTAGGTCTTCTTCTAGACATGGTTGTGATGCTCCACCGAACCAACTGTAATCAAAATTAGGGTTTCCTTCGTCAGAAATTTCGCACAAAAATTAAAAGAATTCATTCATCAATAAAATGGAAACATGTGGGAAGGGTTGAAATCGGAGTAATTTTGATGAACTTACCCTTACCTACAACCACTCTTCAACCCTTCGACTAACCTGCATCGTCTTTCCTTTAGTGGCGCCTCAACAGCAAACAACCATCGCCATCTTTCAAAGCTCAACTGCAAGAGACGCCGACTTTCAAAGCTCCACCACCATAGATGCCTTCCGAAGATCCAGCGTCGCCTCCTTTCAAAGCTTTGCCACCACAGTCGCCGCCGTCTTCGTATGAAACGGAGGTAGCAGGAGAACAGCTCCGTTCGTTCGGTCGAGGGAATAGAGGCCTGATTGCTATAAAAACATAGGGTGGGTGGGCTTAAAACATTTTTATGGAATATTAATTAAATTAATAAATAATATTTTTGAATTATTTAAGTGTTTTTTTTCCTATGTGGCATCCATGTGTCGCCTAAGTGGACACAAGGTTGGCCACCATCGGGTCAACCGTCAATTCTAATGGTCAACAGAAATTCGCGTAACACAAATGACGCAAACCCCTAATACATTGAATTATTTTTGTATTTATTGAAAATATGTAATATAAATGGTACTTTCACTAAAGGATAGTATTTCTAGTGGTATTACCCCTTTATTTTATTTTAAGTCCTTATAAACTCTTATCAAAATTTGACTATGATTTTGGAAATAGTCGCAAAATATTAGGGACTCATGGCAAGAAAATAAATAATCTAGGAACTCAACAAACAAAAGTATCAAAGTACAAGGGCCAAAATCAGCTTTTTTAAACATAACCCTCTTTGCATATAGAAGAACCCTTTCAATTAGATTGGTCCAGATCAATTTAATCCTTCTATGTTTAATCAAATCCCACCTAATCCCTTGAGGCCAATCTACCAACTTTTCAACTATTTATTATAATATATTCAAAGTACTTGATGAAGCCCTTCCCGTAGTCATCTTTTAATAGGGCTGCAAATGAGCCGAGCTGCTCGTGAGCGGCTCGGCGTTCGACTCGAGAAAAGCTCGTTCGAAACTCGGTTCGTTAATAAACGAGCCGAACACGAGCTCACCTTTGTTCAGTTCGTGAAGCTCGCAAGCTAGCTCGATTCGGTGGCTTGTTGAGCTAAACTCGTGAGCTGGCTCGTTTAGAGTTCATGATATGTCTTAACATGTGGCTAGAGAGCCAACAACCCTCTTTGCTTATAGATGAACCCCTTTCAATTAGATTGGTCCAGATCAATTTAATCCTTCTATGTTTAATCAAATCCCACCTAATCCCTTGTGGCCAATCTACCAACTTTTCAACTATTTATTATAATATATTCAAAGTACTTTATGAAGCCCTTCCCGTAGTCATTAGAGCTATGTTTGTTATTTTTGCAGGTGAAGGTGGCACTTCAGTGGACGAATGTAGATATTTCACATTGATATGGAGAACAATCAACATAATATTTCCATGAAGTTTGACTGCTTTTTGTACCAGAGCGCGATGCACTGAATTGAGAGTCACGGGAGTTTTGCAGAACTGCAAGGGAGCCGATGGACTTTCCTCAAGCATTGGAGGAGAGTTTTGGCATCTTTGGATATTCAGTCAATTGGATGGGCCTAGCTAGCTAGTGCTTGTTTTTATTTTTAGTTTTGCATGTTGCTTTTGGCTATATAACTCTCGTTGCCAGATGGGTTCGTTGTAGCCTGTAGGGATGACAATTTTGCTCATATCCATGGGTATTTTACTATCCAATTCAATTGGGTTGGGTATGAAATCTAATAGATGGATATAGGTAGAGTTTGATTACCCATTTACTTGGATTGGCTTGGATTTTTTACAAATGGATTTGCGTTTGTACCCATGCCCAAATGCAAATTATAGTTTGGTATCTAAATTTAATAGATATGCATACTTAGTACCTAAATTTAATTTTTTGCATGAGTCCTCAAAATATCAATAAAATTTACATTTTAGTATCGAAAATTTTGTGCTCTTACATTTTGGTACCTAAAATTTTCAAGTTTTACAAATCGGTCCAATTTTTGTATGTGTAGTTGAAACTAGGGGTGTCCATTCGGGTTCGGTTTTTCGGGTTTACCCCAAACCGACCCGATTATATACATTTTCGGGTTTTTGGGTTCGGGTTTGGTTTTGCTTATTGGTTTTTCGAGTTTCGTCTAAAAACCTCCAATGAATAGAACTTAGCTCGTATTCTTAAGCGTTCGGGTTTTTAGGGTTTCGGTTTTGCTTTAACGGAACCCGAACCCGATAATGATTTTTCGGGTTTCGGGTAACCGGAACCCGTAAGTCCTTATCGGGTTCGGATTCGGTTTTAGTGGTTTTCGGTTTCGGGTTTTTGGGTTTCGGTTCGGGTAACCGAACCCGACCCGAACTGACACCCCTAGTTGAAACACCCTAAAATAAATGGATATCCATATCCAACCCATACACATTTAGATCATTGAAGCAATATTCATATCTTACCCAAACCCATATGCATCACTCATACCAACTCATTATCTATGAGTCTACTTGGGTTTGAGTATAATTACCCATGGGTGGATAATTGTCATCCCTAATTTGCTGCACTGCTTTCAACTTCAATCAGCTCGAAGAGTCGGAGAGCTACAGGCTGATCAAGTATTAGTGTCAATAGCAAAAGTGGGAGGTCACGTGGGCCTGGTTGGCTTTTTGTTTTGTATTTTGTAGGATTAGCAGTATATCCGACAGAGGTTTTTACGGGCTTTTGTGTTGAATTGTTGTCAGATCTACAAGGATTTGCTTCTCTCCAATTTTCGGCATGGCCAATTCATGATTTTGAAACTTTTAAGGGAACAAATCATTATATTGCCCATGTCGTTATGGTACCAAGGGCTATCAATATCGTGGCAAAAAAGACTCTCTTAGCTGGTTCGATAATGTTGACCAGCGCGTATTATTTTTTAATTTGACCGATTTCGGTCATGTATATAAATGGTCAAATCAAGTCAAGTATGTGCTGACTGCTGAACAAACTGATTGTCAACACCCGGACCAAACTAAGAAGCCCGAATAGCATTAGGTTGGACCAGTCATTCTGGTGACACTAATTTGGAATAGAATACCTATCTCCTTTCATGCTTGGCTGTATTTATGATTATGATCGATCTAGTTTAGGCCTGAGTTCTTAGACAGTTATACACTTCCACCTGCTTGACATCTAATTTGGTGACATAAAGAGTACCAGCACCATCCCCAACAGCACCAGCATTCCTTAATCCGAGGAACTACGAGGTCTTATGCCTGTTGCAGCAATAAACAACATTTGGCTCTTTTGCAAACACAAAACCAGAGCTCTTGTGATCAGAAACTCGTCTGCTAAACCAACTATCAGTGTCGGCTCATGTCCATAGGCCTCTAGAACACAATAGACAGCAGTTGAGAAGAAGGCTGATACAAGGCAAACATATGTTTAACGAGAAGACTATACTGATGCTGAATTCATTCCTTCGACAGCCATGACATGATGCCCTAGCACAAACGCTCTTTTCACTTGTGACTGTATTAAGGTTTGCACATACTATAGAAGGATAATCAATTCTCACGCATGATCACAGCTTCAGGCAGACATAAAGCAGCACAATAAAAGAAAGATTGATAAGGACGATGTTCCTCGCCTGTTCCTGTGAATTCAAACATCAAAGTAGGGGGTTCAGTTTAAGTTCTTTCCCCTGGCAATACCGACAGCTTTCACCTGAACTTAATCCCAATTCCCAACAGCTCCAACTCAGAAAATTCATAAATCCCTAATGAAATGTTTGTGAACAAGTTGCCTCCTGATGGCCAGACACCGTAACTACAGCAGCTGCAAGCCTGCAACATCAATACTAATTATCTGGGAATGCTGGAGGTGCCACCTTATGGAACTTGACACGCTTCTGATCCATTTTCACATCCGGAGATCCTTCCATAAAGTAACGCATGACAGGATGAGGTATTACCGGTTCTTCCTCCTCCGAGTATAGCACATTCAATAACATCAATCTGGTGAAGGGGGAAAGTTTACTCTCCTCCAGCAAATCATGAGTCTCACTAAGAATCTTAATGACATCAAAATGTATGGTGAGGCACTTTGTATTGTACAGAGCTCTGAACCACTCCATATACTCCTTACCTAGAGGTAGCAAGGCAGTGTTATCATATCGTGCCGCGCGGACATATGCACGATCAAGACAAGGAATGTTCAGCTTGGGAACTTGTTGAAGCATAATATCACCCCAACAACCAAATGATTCCAGCTTTGGAGCAGTAACCTCAACCAAAAGGAAAAATGCAATTCCCACCAGTTCCAATTTCAATAATTGAAGACCAGAGATTTTCAAACTCACTAAGCTAATTGGACGAGAAGAGCAGCAGACCAGTTTCAGATTCTTCAAGCAGGGGAATTTGGCAAAGGGGTCTATGGAGTTCTGCGAGTCAGAGGGATGGAAGGAACAGAAACTCAGAGTCAAAGTGGTGAGCACCTTGAATCCGGGCCAGAACCTGGAAACAGCAGCATCAGTGAGATGAAAGAGCATCATTTCCAGAGTTTCCAGTGTATGATTGCAATATGAGACCAAGCCTACGATTTGATTGTAGAAGCTTTCTTCAGAAATGTGGTGCCCACTGCCGCGGAAAAGCGACAGTTGTTGAAGACCATGGGACGCTGCATATTTCATCACCTGCTCGAACAGCTCCTCGTCATCAATTGGTTGTTCCGATGCATCTTCCCCAAAACCGAAGCTAATGCGGCGGAGATTGCAATCGTCGTTGCGCAGAAACAGAACATTAACCACCCGTTCTCTGAAACTGGGCCAGGTTTCGCCCGGGTTCCGGTGGAAATCGAGAACGGGGACGCTCTTCCATAGTGGTCTCCACCTGTTTGACAAAATGCTGCTTCGAAATGCTGCTTTGATGCTGAGTAAGGAGAGGATGCTGATGAGAATATGATCGGGGAGGTTACTCAACTTGTCGATTCCGTCTTCCTTCTCTTCCATGTAGCCTATGCAACTATTAGGCTAAAAGCTTCAATTAGGTGCCAAATCGTTTGCCATATTTGTAAGGGGGTCGACGGCCGAGTGCGAGACCTTTTACCTTTTGCCTTTTGGCCAATCTCCACTCCTTTTATCTGATTTGCTCTTACAAGAAAACCCTTGCTCAAAACAGGGAAAATCGAGTGAAAGAATGCACTGGTTGCGACTTTGATTGATGAAATGAAAATATGAATGGCTAAACGTCGCCCTGAATTGTTAAATTTAACGCTTGAATTGTACTGAATGGACAATTTTGCCCTAGCCATAAATAACCCTAAACTGCCAGCTCTCCCTTCACAACAATTTGCCGCCGCCGTTTCTACTTAGCAATTCGCCGTCGCCGACCTCTATTGCTGGCGCTCAAGGAGGACGAAAAAGGAATCATGTCACCTAGCATCATCCCCTTCGTTTGCTTACACCGCCGCCCTTTCCCCAGCAATTCCCCACCGCCAACCTCTGTTGCTGGCGCTCGAGGAGGAAGAAGAAGTAATCATGTCACCGAGCAGAAAATAACCTCCCCAACTCCTGCTACTACCTAACCTAGCCCATCGCCGATCGATGAAGAATGAGGGAGGAGGAAGAAGGTTGGAAATCTCCAACCGGATTTTTTGTTATGGGTTCACTCGTCGGACGGTTTGAAAACCCATCTCTGGTGAGGTCTGGACGGATTTACAACATGTATTCACACCGGCAACAATAGATTTTAAACCCTCCCGACAAGTGGGAGAAGCGGGCGGGCCACATGTGCGACGACGGTCTGGTCTGGTAGATTATTCGCCTAATCATGGTCTGAATCTATCTGTCGTCCGACGACCAGGACACAACAAGCTCTAAGCAGCAGCGCCGGCGGTGAGTTTGGCGTGGCAGCTGATTGTGCATTTGGGGTAGGATTGAAATTCTGAATAGCGATTATTTTTGTTAGAATATAATATTTTAACAATAAAAAAGGATATAAATGTAATTTTAATTAAGGGTGATCATGAAGTTAGGGCGACAATTAGCAATTCCCATGAAAATACGATCTATCTCTGAGCTTTAGATTAGGTTACTAATTTCTGACCCGACCGGATGGCTGGATTACTTTAAGTAATCGACTTGTGGAGTAGAGCGGAAGCACGACCGAGAGTAAGAGAACATCTATTTTACGAATAATTATATATTTAAAATGTGAATAGCACATTAATATTAGATTATTTTAGTCTAAAATTATTAAATATATTATCAAATTTTAGACAAAATAATGAAGTACCATAACATCCTTTATTTTTTAATTAAGTTTATGTATCAAGAAGAAAATAAAAAATTTAATAGCTCATTTGAATGACTTTGTATCAATTTGATGCAGAAAATCACCTAAATTTGCTTTTGTATTTTAAATTTTATTTATAAAAGAGAAAATAAATGTACTCATATCCTTAGGTATGGCAAACAGGTGGGTGTGTCAATTATCTCAATAGTCTACCCATACTCGCCCCACATCAAGCGTGACATTTCTTCATACTATTCAGTATTAGATTCATTTACTATGATCCTTCAAGGGCATACGCCAGAGGATCTGCTTTAAGTCTCATTCCTCCATCTAATTTTTCATCAACCCATGTTTCAGATTCATCAAATAGCTCATGATACCAAGTATCACCATGCTCAGTTTGGGGTCCGGATAGTATAACAACAGCCATAATGTTGTTATAGTAACAACAAGGATAAAAGAGTAAATTGACAAAATAAAAAAATTAATTTGAACAAAAAAAAGCAACGAATTAACCCTGTTCCCCTAATCTGCGCTTCTCTCCCGATGCCCCAAATTTCTATTCCCAGATCTGGGTTTCTCCTCCGTCTCCGCCTCTCTTTCCTTCTCTGTTCCGGCGCCGATCAATGCCTCCACACGAGCCTTCCACCGACGATCCCCACCACCGACGTCCTTCTCAGCTCCTCCCGTCGCCGGCCGCCGACGTGTACTTCCTCAGATCCATCAGCTCGTGGACGCCCACCTCGTGCTGCGACTCCCACGGCTTCCGATCATCGCCATTCCACTACTCGATGAAAGTGTTCTCAGAGTCATCGACGAGCCGGAGGAGGTAGCGTGGAACCCCATCGGCGAGGTAGCGCTCTTGCTCACTGTTCCCTCTCTTCTGATGTTGAAAACACCAAGAATATCGCGCCATCGGATTCCGGTTGTTCGCCTGTTCCCGTGACGGAACTGTCGGAAATTCGGATTCTACCGCTGCTAAAGGGTACGTGAACGGAAGCAGCAGAAGGCTCCGCAACCATGCCGGAACCGGCTACAGACGACTTCATTGAGGCTCCTATGTTGCCTCGCTGCAGTTTGTATCTCTCAAATTCCTAGAGATTCGCAACAATGGTGGTACCAGCTGCGGCCTGCGGACGAGTTGTGGAAATTCATTCCAAGGCTTTCCGCGGACTAAGTCTATGCTTCAATTGCTTTTCTTCCTCTCCATCTCGTTTCTTTCTTTCATTAGTACTCCAATTGAATTTGTTTTTTCTAATGACAATTTGAATGGACCGTGAAGAGAATCATTGATCCTGGGAAAGCTATTTTCAAGTTTTAAGTTGATATTTGTGGTATATCTATTGAGATGTGTTGTTTAATTTTGCTAATTATAGAGTGTACTTGTGGTCATATGTAGTTTGGTGTCAAATGGGGTTGTAGCCTTGTAATAATTTTGTATTTATTTGTTAGTTATCAACACCATAAACCTGTTAATATACATTATAAACGCAATAAAAACAACCACAAAATGCATACCAGAAACCTCATAATGCAAACCAAAAATCCCCTAAAACATACCAGAAACCCCATAATGCACACCACAAAAGTTTCGAAAGCACACCAGAAACTTATTAATGCAAACTAAAAACCTTCTAATTCAGACCACAAATCCCCTAAAACAAACCAGAAACCCCACAATGCAAACCACAACATTTGCGAAAGCACACCAGAAACCTCATAATGCAAACCATAAACACAGTAAATCAAACCACAAAAAGCAAACCATAAACGTCCTAATGCAAACCACAAATATATTAAAACAAACCAGAAACCTCACAATGCAAACCACAAAGTTTTTGAAACCAAACCAGAAACTTCTCAATGCAAACCACAAACACAATAAAGCAAACCATAAAAGGCATAAAAAAATATGAGAAACCAAACTATAAATCTCACAATGCTAACCAGAAACCCCACAATGCAAACCACAACATTTGCGAAAGCACACCAGAAACCTCATAATGCAAACCACAAACACAGTAAATCAAACCACAAAAAGCAAACCATAAACGTCATAATGGAAACCACAAATATATTAAAACAAACCAGAAACCCCACAATGCAAACCACAAAGTTTTTGAAAACAAACCAGAAACTTCTCAATGCAAACCACAAACACAATAAAACAAACCATAAAAGGCATAAAAAAATATGAGAAACCAAACCATAAATCTCACAATGCTAACCATAACATCCGGTGGTCGTTGACCGTTGACCGGTCAACGAAGATCGTTGACCGAACTCCGGTGACCGTCAGTGAGCAGATTCCGACGCCGATAGGCATATTCCGGCCCCGGTGACTAGATTCCGACGCCGGTAAGCATATTCCGGCAACAAAAAACATATTCCGGTGACCGGCGACCATTTTCCGACGACCGGTGGCAGAATTCCGGCGACCAAATTTTTGGGCAGAAAAAAAAAAAAATATTTTTTTAATATTTTTTTAATTTTTTATTATTTAAACATATTTTTCATAATGACAATTATACCCCTGTTTTGATTTTACACTAGGTCAACTCAACTAATAAAAAGTCATCACATCCCTAGCTTCCTATTGGTTGGGGACTAGTGTTGTTACAATAACAACACAATGGGTGTTGTTACAATAACCGGTCCCCTCAGTTTGGACTTCGTAGGCTCACTCACAAGGCTCAGAACCACAAAATGATGAAGTTTTAACAAGGTAAAACTCAAATTTAAGCTTTAATCGAGGAGAGGAAATAGTAGGAATGGTGATACCTCCAAGTAGGGTTGGAAGTTTGATACTGGTATTTGGGCTATACCGAATATTGTACCGAATTTGTCTATATTTGGTATTACTGAATAGACGTATTAATTAAATTTACTAAAATGACGTCATTTTGCTCAGAATACGTAAGTCGATCTTGACGGTCATACCGATACCACTTGAACCAAGTTCAACCGGCCGACATGCCACCGGCATGACAACCATGCTAATATCCCGATAACCTACTATTATCCTTTGGGAAGAGTCAACTGATTTTCGGGATGATGTTGACGCCAATTGGGAGTGATCTAATCAACTTGATTTTGGTTCAACTCCTCTAATAGATGGAAGATTGGGTATGACTGAGGTATATGGGTAGTCATAGAATGTGAGAACAACTGTTCTTCGAAATGAAGAAAAATTTCAGAACCTTGTTGACAGATTTGAGATGTTCCAAGTGATTGTGAGCTTTTCCCAGGATCTCTTAACACCTAGTTCCTAGGCCAAGAAAATTCTAAAGGATTTATTTTCTTTCTATGGAATTACTGAAGATGGTCCGACCCTTCTTTAAATAACTCGGTAAATTTTGAGATATTCTTAACACTAGTGTTTGTAGTGTTAACTAGGTGGTAGACCAACCTCGTATGATATGCCAAGTATCTAGTCTGATGATTCATTCAATCAAATTTTCATGGACTTCATTCTTAAATTTAATGAATTCCCTATACACTTGTCATCCATGGCCGTGAGATAATTTGGATAGGTCTGGAACCAAACAGGGTCATGTGCCAAGTTTTTTTTTTGAACTCCTTATATTAGTTTATCTTTGAATTCTTTACATCGTTTATCAAGAATAGCATATATCACATGACTATCCATATGCAAATTGAATAATGGGATTAGTCCAACTTGAACTAATCATATGTGAATATAATTATATTCACTCATAGTGTTACCCAATGGGACTAACCCTTCGTTCATCATAAAGAGTTGGGATATCCACAAATCTTCATCAGTGTCTTATTCATATTCTGACCCTACTTCGTAGATTGAGTGAACCTCGGATTCTACTTCCGACGGCTCATTTTCATCAATGGGCTCATAGGCTAATTGATCACCTTCAAATAAGATCCTTCGAAGATTTTCCTTTTGATTACTCTTGTGAGGACAAATATTAGCTTTGTGATATTTGGATCCACAAATCCAACAACATGAACAGTTGCTCAAAGGTTTCACTTTGGGACATTTCGGTTCTCTTCCATACTTTCTTTTGAAGCATCTATGCTTTCATTATCCCTAAGATTTGTTCTTCTTTTTATGAACTTAGAGGGCTTATCAGATTTACTCCTATATTTCATATCATCTCTTGTGAGCATCCTTTAGCTATATTCTTTAAATATTCTCTTCTTAGAAGGATATCTTTGATGTTTCTTATTCCTAGGTGGTTGTTCTAATTCATTAAAACATCCATATCTGCTAAGAACATATTTTATTTGGATACAACTCTTGTTAAGATAGGATAGCATCTTGGCATCCTGTCTAACTTGGAATTCACTACATGCCTTTCTCATGGCATAACGTACTGCTTGTATTTTTCCTCCTAATCCATCAAAATTTGATTTTCGTTGAGGAAAATATCTGAAACACCCTAACCCGGCCGGGTACTACTTTACTAAAATGCCCTTGACAAATAAAATACTCTAATCTTGAATTTCAACTGGGAATAACTTTCACAATAAAATACTGAAAACACACTTGTAGTTCCGAGCAAAGCCCTAACACGTGGGCAAATTAAACTCAAACTTTAAAATCTGATCTCCAGTCTATACTCATAATCATAAATGTAAATAACTAATAATCTCTAATTTTGTTTCTACTGAAACCTTGACTAAGCATCCTCTGTGACGCTTATACTGCTCTCCTCTAGCTGGCTTGCCTCAAACATCTTTCTCGATCTCGCTGCTCACTAACTGCTCCTCTAGCTGCAACTATCGGTCTAGTTCTCGCTTTTCCTTTACTAAATCCTGGTGAGTGAGATGGGGTCAGTCTACGCCCTTACGTTTTAAACTTTCTAATAATTTTGCACTTCTTCTCAAACACTTAAACTCAAACTGAGGGAAGTTGTTTGTACTTCCTTTCTTAAAAATCTCAACTCTTAAAATTGTACGGGAATAACTGTTACTTTCCATTCTTAAAGCTTAAATCTCAACTTAAATATTTGACTGACACTGGGATCCCTCACTAGCTAGTCCGGTTGCCAACTCATACGTATGAGAAGCTCTCTAGGCTTTTCTTGAACTTAAACTTAGTTAGGGAAGTCGTAACGATTCATCCCCTAACATCTTAAACTTATCGTGGTGGCTCTTCACCACGATTCTCAAGAGCATAACTGCTGCTCATCTTAAATATCTCAAGAGCATAATTGATGCTCTGTCTCAAAGATCTCAAGAGCATAACTGCTGCTCTATCTAAAAATCTCAAATGGCAACGGACTGACGCTAGTGACTAAAAACACTTAAAACGACTTCACCTTCTTGAAGGTGAGTTACTTCTTACAAAGAACTTGTTCTTAATGTTTGTACCATCTAGCTTCGGTATGAACAATGATATTTGTTGGTGTGGGTTGACTCGTCATCCGTTCGTCCGATCTCGTCGGGAGGGAGAGAACCCGTGAAAGAGCCGGGGTTGCCCCCCGGATTAAGCTCCGACGATCAAGTCAGTGTATGTTTGTGGAGAGAGTTGAGAGAATAGTAGAGAGATAAAGTGTAGAGAGATAGTAGAAAGTGGAAAGTGAGGGGAGAGAGAGAGGTCCCTCTCTTTGGAGGGCTTCAAGCCCTTATATACCTGTAGCGGGTATCGAGTGTTGCCCATTGTCGATTGTGCGCCCTCCTACTCAGTCTGAATCGGAGTATTTCAGTAACACCCCCAACACTTAACTTTAACGATAACTTATAAACGGAAAGCTTTAAATTAACCAAGAACTAATGCACATTCACATCAAGCATAGCTCAAACAAAATCACATATCATCAACCATAAGCATTCACAAGCACGGTAACCACAT